TTGTTGAGTCAATCAATCAAAGAAAATGACTAAGAGGGAGTGAATTGGCAATTTGAAAATTGTTGGAAGCTTTTGCAAGAAGTAAAAAAATGAAACAATAATTTTAGAGTAGTCCAACTTCCTTAATGAAGTCTACATCCACTATCTTAGCTTCCTAACTAAGAATTTCAACAAATTCATTAATTTGTTCTAACCTTTTAGGAAAAGACGTAACCTTACACAACACTAAGGTTTATACCCCAATGTCTTAAGTGTTCAACCTTTCCCAAGAAGTAATTGCAAATGAGCAAACTTTGATTATCCTCACAAAAATAAAATGTTTGCAAATTGAAGCTTTCACACATACCCAAGAATACTAGAATAAAAAATACAATGAATGGAATAACGTTCTATGTAAGAAAGATAAAATGGAATACAAATTTAACTCTAATTGCTCTTTGATTGTTGGAATAACTTTCCTTTTTTTCTATTCTTGGTTGTTGAAGACACCTTTTATATGGCCTTATTGATTTTTAACTATTTGTGGTTGTTGGAGGGAGTTAGGGCCATTTGAATAATTAAATTAATGCATTTAAGGCTACTTGCACACAAAGTTCTAAACTATAGTGAAAGTTTCGAAACTCTTCGAAAGAAACTCTTTAAAAGAGGGATTAAAGAATTTGACCGTTGGAGCCCAAAGTATCGAAACTACAAGGAAAGTTTCAAAACTCTTATGAAAGTTTTGAAACTTTTGTAAAGTTTGGAAACTTATGGTCAAATCTTATTTTAAAAGATAATATTTGATATTTTGAGAAAGATAAAACTTTAAAATTGTTTTAAAGAGTTTGAATGATATTTTTGACATAATTTGAACTTAAAAGACTTATTTTAAAATTAGACAAATTTTAAGGACTTAAAATTAATTTTACAAAAATCAATATATATATATATATATATATATATATATATATATATATATATATATATATATTATGTCATATCAAAATCATTTATGTTTATCAAGTATCAATGTCGATCTAGATCCTATTATTCCCTTATCCTCCTACATTGATCTTAAATTTCTTCGTAAATCAGGATGGGAAAAGCTTGGGGAAGCAAGCAATTGGTTCTACCTTTGGTGCACCTCATCCTCAAAACGATGATCTGATATGCAATGTCGATAATCTGGTGGACCGCGTCCTTTTTGAATCCCCCTCGAGTCAGCGGTGAGGATGTGAGTGCAGTTCTTCCTTACTTCCAAAATTTCATGGAGATGATGGATATATGGTTTTCTATCATAAAGTCTCACTTCACAATTTGGGGACTCATGTTTCTGAGATTGGTGCTAGACAGTTGTCTTTGGAGGCGATGCATGTGGACTCCTGACGTGATATTCATGCTAGATTCGACACGATGACAGATATGTTCAACACTCTTTCTCGCGACTTTGTTTCCTTCCGTGCTCTATCTTTGGGTCGTGATCCTCCTTTGTCGGATGCTTGATCGTTTTTCCTTGTTGACTGCTTGTTATTTACTCATGTTTGGTCTTGTATTTAGATTTGTAAGATTTTTATCTTTATGATTTGGATGTTAGTTTTCATACTTTGGATGTCAGTTTTCATACTTTGGTTGTGGATTTGGATATTTTATGCACATCCACTTTTATTTGATATTTATGTTATTTGGATGTTTGTTATGGTTTATAATATTTGATATTTGAGACATGATTTTCTTTATGACCATGTTTATTGCTTAAGAATATTATTTATGTTAATTAACCTCTTTTGGTAAATTGTTCTTCACAACTTGTATTTATCTCTTATTTAAGTTTTTTGATTTAATAAAAGTGGAGTATTTCTTAAATTTTTTCAAAGGTTTTGTTATTTCGAAAAGGGGAAGATTGTTGAACCATTCTTTGAGATTTTGATATATCAGACGTAAATATTTTAAAGAAATTTTAAGATTACTTTTAATTCAGTTTTCAAGCTTATATTCAATTCAACCGATCGAATATAGAAATTCTTCTTAAGGTCAAAATTTTTATTTTTACTCCTTACTCTTTTGAAAATTCAAGTCATATATTGGAATTATTTTTCAAATGTTTTTACAAGGGATTTTGGATTATAATCGAGTCAAAAATCAATTTATAGACCTTCAATACATTTACTACAAGAACAATACGAATACTGTTCATGTGGTACCAATACTGGTATTGATACTCCCTTTGTGATTTTGGGAAATACAAATTCCAGTAACCAATTTTGTACCAATATTGCTCAAGTATCAATACTCATGTTGGAGTATCGATACTCTCCTCTCACTAATGACTAGATTTTTGTATTTAATGTAGTAAATACCAATACTCTAAGCCCGAGTACCAATACGCAAGGCGTCTGGGCAGCATTTATTGTAAGAAATTTCATCCCAATGGCTTATTAACTCTTACAACATCCCAAACGACTAGAATTGAATGAATGAGTATAAAACCAAGATTCAAGTCATATGTGAAGACAATAGATTATAGAGAAAGCCAAAGCAATCACAAAGAGTAAAAAATTTAAGTCATATTCTTAAACATTCTTTTTGCTTTCCAGAACACTTTTTACTTCTTTGTTTCATTCAATCAAGTGTTCTATTGATTCGGAATTGTGCAAACGCATACCTTATATGGGTTTTTAAAAGTTTTCTATTTGTAATTTCTTCTTAGGAAGGTTGTACACTTGAGACTTTGGGGTATTAGTCTAAGTGTGTTGTAAGGTAACAGTTTGTCCTAAAACGTTTAAACAAATTAGTGAATTTGTTAAAATCATTAGTGTGGAAGCTAAGGTAGAGGATGTAGACTTCATTGAAGAAGTTGAACTACTCTAAAATTACTTGTGTCAAATTTTTCATTTTCTTGCAAAAACATTCCATCATTATTTTAATTGTCAATTCACCCCCTCTTGATCTTTTCATTGGTTCGATTGACTCAACATACTAGTTTTGAATTAAATAATGGTCTCAATAGAATTTTCACAAATTTTTATATTTATTTCATAAATAAACGAACAATCACAAAATGTGTATATAATTTTATTTTTATTGTCACGACATAAGGTAATAGTATGGGATATTATAAAGTAGTATATGTTTAAAAATTTTTTAACCAGTTAACAACGTTCACACACCCTATAGACACAACTGCTCAAATTTGGGAGAACAACATTCACCACTTAACGTGACGAGTAATTGATTGGAATCTTTAAAACTCTTTTTAGGATAACCGAGATTAGTTATTTATTGCATCCAAGATAACTAAGTTCTAGATACAACTTGGAACATTGGAAATAAACACCCAATAGATATGATTATGAGCCACAACGTTTGCATCTCGACGGGTGAATACAATTTTAAAGCTCGGGTGGAGGTTGAGAAGTCAACGGGCTTAAGCAAGATGGACACCAACGGTTGAGAAGTCAACGGTAGGATTTGCAAGTCATCCAACTGTGCTAATAGTTAGGGCCACGTAAGATTTTATGTTAGAGGGCGAACTTGAACTTATATAATCTTAAAGGGTAAAAACCAAATTTTAATAGAAAATACATAGATAAAATCTAAAATATCAAAATTTATCATATTATAATTATTTATCATAAAATAAAGAAAAATCCAAACATATAAAATTAAAAAATGTCAAAAAATAACTTTATAATCGTAACATTTTATTTAAAAATATCTTATAAGTAAAAATATAACATTTTTTTTCAAATGTGGGGCCTAGATTTGTGAGGCTTATGACATGTCACATACTAAATTTATAGAAGGACCACCTGCATATAGAAAATAAAAAAATTGCTAAAGTTATGACATACAATTTTATCTTGTTGCTATGAAGAGATAAGCATTCAACTATTTTTAATTAAAATAGAATGGATTGATTCTCATACTTGAAAAAATGTACAAGGAATGCCTCGCGCTTCAAAGCATTTTTTTTAATTAAAAATTTGATTAAGCTTTTGTTTACCCAAATTTTTTGAATTGTACATTATTAAACTATTTTTCACAAAACAAAAGCATAACAGAAAAAATAAATTTGTATTTGAAATATAATGGTGTAGTTGAAAAAACTCACACGAGGTCAAAGCACAATGAGAAGGGCCCAAACTTAGGAAAGAAAGTGGCCAATGCGTGCGGCTACCGCACATCATTAATTAGTAGATGTGAGATCTCCAAATTAATTTATCTATCAAGGGATAAAATTTGATCCCTATCGTTTAGTTTTATAAATATACAACCACTTGATTAGAAAAATAAATTTTAGTCATTTATATTATCGTTTTATTAAAATTTGGTCACTAAAATATTAACTATCATGGGTTTAATGACATTACACTTTAATAAAAAAATAATTTTTTTATTTTAACCTTTAAACTTTAGATAAATTAATAATGATGCTTATTTTAATATCTGAACTTTAGATAAAATACTAAATATGTTCTTTTTGTAAATCTAAAATAATTTAAGGATGGATTTTTAATTTACCTTTTTTTTAATATTTAATCTTACAAAAACTCTATCTCACACTCTTTTCTAATATTAATTCATCTTTAATTATCACTAACTATCATTTTGATCTTTCTTTTTTAGTTTATACCTTCGAGATTTTCGAATAAAAAATAATTTAAAAAAATTCGGGTCGGGACGGGTTTATCGTCTATGAACTAATACAGCCTTCAAAATACGATCATAATGTAGAGTCACAATATATGAATCGAAAACAGATGAACTTAGCATGCTGATTTCTAGCATAGAACAATAGCGAATAACACAATCTAACAACAAGTTTTATACGCGACAATCCCAAAGGAAACAAACTTGACAGATATCAACATGTAACTAAACTTGTTATTCGATTAGGTTTGGCAAAAATAGTAGACGGTGCAACAATTTGCCAAAACATACCCTGTCCATTTAAACACAAAGACATTACCCAGATTGTAAGAAGTTGTCCATTAAGAAGCCCACGCGATCATTATCAAATCAGATAATGAAACAAACAAAACTACCATCAACCCATCTTTTTATCCACTTAATAAATGAACAAATACGTCTACAAAAAGCACACAAGAATTGCTTAATTGCAAGTGAGATTTTGCACTTAAGCACGCTCGCCTCTGATCCTACGGGCCAACTGAATGTCCTTGGGCATGATTGTTTTACAGTCCCCATCCATGGTGGCATGTGGCCCATCAAACCCATATGCTCGCAAAGGCTTCTTCCAGCGCTCTCTTCTTGCTCAACTCTATACTCCATCCCCCAGCTCTTCCACCTCTTTCTGCTCGGAGCCTCATCATCTCCTCATCATCAAAAGCATAACCGTGCATATCCAGCCCGCTGGCAAGTGGCACAGGTTGTGGTGCCATGCCTGTTGGTCGTGGTTGCCCTCCAGCAACAGTTGGCGCATATTGACCTTGAGCACCGGCTGCGAACGCAGTTTGAGAGCTCTAGCATAGGGCCAGTTAAGTAAACGAACAATCAATTTGTAACATTGTTACATGCTGGCTTCGAGAAAAAAGAGTCTAAAACCAATAGAATATAAGAAATTGAAAAGTCCATATGTCAAAGTATCCAATTATTATTTTGACCGAAAACTGTGAAGAGCTACAGAAGAAACAAATATTTGAGAAATATGGAAGCTAAGATTCATCCAATCCAACAAAATATATATACACATGTATAAGTTGTCTTGCATCTTAGTTAAAACTTGGAGCGAAAGAAATCAAAATGGTCTGAACATAATTTCGAGGAAATGTCGAAATAAATAAGGAAATATTACTTATGCTTTGTGAGTCCGAGAAATGACGAAAACCATAGTAGCTGAAAATGTCCAAATCAAAACTACCAGATTGCTATCAAGATATCAAATACATGAACACTAAGGTTAAGCAAGTTAAACGTGCAAAGGTACATATTTTCTCTTCTTTCCAGTAATGGGAAACAAAATAAATAAATTCCTGAAAGGGAAAAACAGACGACACTGTCAAATAAACAACCACCATCTATCTAAAACGTCAAACATTTAAACCAGCTATTAGCCTTATTTTTTTGTTTGAATGAACTAGCTATTAGTCATTTTGCTCGAGCCCGTAGCAATATGAATGAGGTTAAGAGATTAATTGCGACAACTTTAACTACTGAGATTGACTGAGCCAGAGTTCTAACTTCTAACAACACATGATCAAACTTGTAAAAGATCAACTGATGATGCATGCTTTAATTTATAAACAGAACTCAACAACTAATGGTAAACGTCTAAAAAAGCAAAGACAATAGGATTTTCTCACCCCATCAGTATCGGCATGTGCAGGAAGTCCCTTGCTTGCTGCCATTGCTGCAGCTAAATCTTCAGCCTGTTCATCAAAACAACTTATATATTAACTTATAAAAACAACTTTTTTCCCATGAAATAGTTTTGGGAAAAGAGAAGGAAAGTGAAATGACATTGTTATGAGCCTCAATCAATCTCCATGAAGGAGACCAAAGAGAAAAATAAAAGAAGGTTACCAAAAGGCACCTTCCGAGCTTGATTGATCATAATCAGCTCAGCATTTTCCTTCTGATACTTATTAATCTGTTCTTCAATAGCTTGAACATCAATTCCTTCAATCAATTTAAAAACTGCCCCAAAAAAACCCCAAATTAGTTTATTTAATAAAAAAAACCAAATAGTTCGGGATATGGAATAAAGCAGAACTTACTCATATCTTCCACTTCTTCCAAGTAATCATTGTATTCTCTCAGTGATGAGAAATCCTCCTCTCTTTTATTGTATCTATTTAAAACAAAATTCCCAAAATTAAATAAAACAGCAAAAAAATTCTGAATTAGTGATACATAATAGCAATGGAGAGAGCAAGAGAAACATAGAAATCACATGTTGTTTATTCTTCTACGGATTTGCATCTCCTTGTTGTGGGGATTGGAACTCGCAACTACCATGGCTTTCGTGTTTTGGGATTTTATCTTTTTGTTCCGCTTGGCTTGGGCGATTCGGATCTGCGAAAATGGTAATTGACTGTTGAGCAAGCTTGATCCGAGCCCTTCTAAATTGCAAGTAATTTTTCTCTTCCGGCAACCATTTCTTCAGGTACTACAAAACCAGACTGAAACAAAACAGCGATGAAGTTGAATGACAGGAGATTTTTGGCCGGAAACAGTACCTGGGGGGAATTTTAAGATACATGAAGAAGGCCAACAATGGAGATTAGGCCAAATGCACAGCCCAACTTATGGCCCAGCAGTGGCCAACAGTACTTCTCTGTGACTGAAAGATTGAAGACTAGTTTTCGTGTCAATTTAGTCTTCTTCTATTGAGTCGTGGTTCGATTTTAGACTCTTGTAAATGAACCGTTTTGGAGTTTCCATTGCTGGTAGTAATCAGTTATCAGCAGTTCCAATTTCTATGAACAAGGTTGATCATGACTCTGTACGTTTTGTTTCTTCTCCAGTTTAGGGAAGACCCATCCCTTAAGACATAAGGTGGTCAGCTGGGAGAAACTATGATTCATATGAGAAACCGATGGCAACACTTGGGTGAAATCTTCGGATAGCTCAAGAAGAGTATTATTGATGCAAAAGGTAAACTGTACTTCAAGTTTGCTATCCATACAGAACATTTTCTTGGTTCTAAGATGTACATCATCTTCAAACTGTTTTAAATATGCTTAGATAGTGATGATATCCATCATCTTCTCCTTTAGTAAACTTTAGAATTATACTATGCCTTGTGGGACTAATTGATGTTCGTAATTTCAAGATTTGAATAGGGTGAATATAGACTTCAATCTAGCAGTCTATTTCTGGCATTTGCTTCTTTGCATCTGACACATGATTGATTTTGTAGTGAGTACATACATGACCTAGGTCACAGAGGCCCTTCAGCTTTAAGGACAATAAAAAGAACAGGAACACCAAATAGGAAACTTGATCTCTCTTGCTTTTGTGTTTTAGAATTAGTGGTTGTCTTGTTTCATGATTCTTTACTCTTGCTTTTTTTTTTAAATGATGTATTATCCTCTGTTGGTCTAATATTGTTTTCAACTGTGATTTTAAAGAAAGCAATTTTTTATGGTTATTGGAAGTGGGCAGGGTTCTTTAGAGACAGATATAATGACTATTGTATCCATGAGGGAAATTGTTTTATAAGAGTTGTTAAACTGCAATGCTTGACTTGAATTAAACAATGTTCCTTTTACAGAATTTTTTTGGCAAATACATGAATGCTTTCAGTTTTAATCTTTATCTACGTTCTCTCATCGACCCAAAATAAGACGGAAAAAGTCTTATCTCCATTCCAGTGGATCAAAAGACAAACCCTAATCTACATTAGGGTAACCTAAAACCCCTAAAATATGGGCAATCACAATCAAAACAGATAACGGAACACGAGTCTCCAAGAGGATTTGAGAAAGACCAGAAAAATTCTCTACTTCTAATTTCAAATTGGTGCTAACAATTTCCTTGCATGCATCCTACTTCAATTGATACTTTATAAGAAGCATAAGTCGAATAGAATAAAACAAAAGCTATGAGTGGAACCTGTTTACCCTACCTAGACGAAACAGGCTCGATCCAAAAGACACATTAACTAAAATTTCCCAAAACCTTATCCAAACATCAGTATACATGACATAATTCACTTCATATGCATCACATGGCATTTTCCCGGATACAGTTATGCAATCAGTTTTCATATCAGCCATGCTAACAATTAGATTTCCAATCAAACAAACAATTCAAACACAATATAAATGCAGCACCGATTAGAAACACACCTCGACAGTAGCTAACGGCGATAATAATGTTTTCCACGGTCGGCTCTAACAGTGAGTCGATTCGAATCAGTACATACGACAATAGTTAATAAATTATTCTAACTCAACGACAGAAGTCTACACGAATTACACGAGACGGTTCGAAGTTCCGCTGGTTCGAAGTCGGAGGTGGCAGTAACTTGATTCCCGATTTGATCTCACCTGCAAAATTTTATCTCTCAAATCAATATCCAATTAACTCAAATATTTTAGATTAAATTTAACGATGACAATACTGATTTTCCTATTCGAAACGGAATCCAGTAGCGGGTATTTGGTTCGAATATAACAATCTTCCAATTCGAGAAATAGGGGCTGCTGACGTCAAAACTAGACGGCAGTAGCTATACAGATCCGGCGACCTCATATCCAGGCCATCCGTGACCTCGAACGGCCGGAAACGGCGGCGGGATTGAAACAGAGCGGCCGCAGCAACATAAACATGACCAAAAAAGGAGTTTTCACGGCCAACCGAGGCTGTTCAGCCGTGACCCAAGCCAACCGAGCCTTCCCAGGCGAAGATCCGATCTTACCACAACCGGAAACAGCCAAATCACGGCGGTGGCCGCAGCATTTTACAAACCAAACTCGTGGGTACCACCGTATCTCAAACCAACGGCGACGGCGATGTCATGAAGGTGTTAAAGGACAATGACCGGCGACGAAATTACCTTAAAACGAGAGGGCGGCGGCGAGAAGGAAGCAAAGTAAGATCGGAGAAGAACGTAGGCGCCGCGTGGTGATATAAACGAAAGGGAGTGTTAAGTAAAAGGGATAATAACACAGTCATCCAACTCTTTAGGACTTATGAACTAGACTCTAACTTTAAAAATATGCAATCTAGTCCCTATTTTCAAATTAATAATTTAGGTAAAAAATTTCTCAATTTTTAGGGTTTAATTTGGGAAATATTATTTTTGTTACAATGAGAACCTAAATCTAATATTGTATAACTTATGAAAAAGAAAAAGAAAAAGAAAATTAAAGAGAAGGAACGAACTTTGGATTTTTTTTACTTCCTTCTTGATGAAACTTGTAGAGTATGTGCGATGGTATGAACCCGGTTCCTCTTAATAGTTCTATGTAGAAGATTTGGAGATTGTCTATCTAATTACAATCGGACGGTTACGAATAATTATTTGTGTATTTATTCTGTAAGAAATCTGACGGTCAAAACTGTTAAAAAGTTGTATTTTCTCTGCCTTAATGGACGGTTAGGATTAATCTATAAGGTGATGACGCATATCGTCAGAGATGAGTAATCGATCCTCATTGGTTGCTGGAAAGCGCTTTTTAGATCTAATAAAGGGTGTATTGGTAACTGACTAAAGTATATTACAGATAAAAGCTTAAATTAAAAAAAAGGTAAATATAATAATGGTCACTGAACTTTTCTAAAATTTTCATTTAGGTTCCTAACTTTAAAACTTGCAATACAGTCCTCCAACATTTAGTCTGTTTGCAATATGGTCCTCGACGTAACCGGCCGTTTGACGCCGTTACACTGCCATTAGTACGTTTGCAATAAGGTCACTGAACTTTTCAGGCGCTTGCATTTAGGTCCCCCAACTTTTAAAACTTACAACACAATCCTCAATTTCATTCTAAACCCCAAATTCCTTTTCAATCTCGAATTTCCTTTTTCGCTTCTCATTTCCAGCGTAACTTTTCAGTCGGGGATGCATGAAAAATTCTAATCTAACTTTGAATTATGTGGAGGTGTTGACTTGAATAAGGGTCCATTGAGAAAAGACCCGACTAAGGGACTATCGGGACCATCAACGATTTAAGGTGCAATGTTTGATACGGGTCATCTCAGGTGAAACATAGATGTTCGATGAAATGCTTGTGAGAAAAAAATGGGTTAGAAATGCAGAGTTGACAAAAACTACTAAGATGAACTAAGTATCATTGTTGAAAGTCACCATCAAAGCTGGAATTATTTTTGTATAAATGACATATAATAATTTCTTCGTTTAATCCTTGTAGTTAAAGATTTTTCAACAGATGATCAAATATAATAAAATCCCAAACAACATATTCACCTCTCAGTCTCTTTCGCTCACATGCACTATCGTTTGATTTTTGTTTTCCAATTTTCCGCCATGTAAAATTGTAAACCCAAGTGCTCTATGTAGACACCCGTTTTTGTCCGTTTTTTTTTATATATATATTATTATTATCGTTATTTTTATTATTATTATTTATTATTATTATATTCATTATCATTATTATTTACATATTTTTTGCAGGCCTAATCCCTAAGCCCAACAGCAGATACAAGCTGAAGCCCAAACCCGGTTCAGGCCCCATACCAATTCTAGCCCCAACAAGAGAACCCATTCAAATTAGGGTTTTAAACCCTAAACTGAAGCTCCACCGCCGCCAGCAGCAGATGAACAGCCGCGCCACCGTCACTGTTCCGGCCCGTCTCGCTCCACAGTCATCTACAGTAAACCACATCAAACAAATCAATCCAAATACCCAAATCAATCCGAAAATGTCATCTACAGTTCAAATCTCACCAAATCTGAAAACCCATTTAAAAAGTCCTAAATCCCTAAATATTTGGCTTTTGGTACTAACCCGAGCCTAGGAACATGATTCCTATAAAATAGAGATGATGATTCTCAGCCAAAGACCATAAGAAAGATACATGCAATGACAGGGGATTCATTCGGGTTTCCAGAAAAAAAAAGAAAAAAAAAAGAGAGTCAAAGGAAAGGGAGAACCAACAGCAAAAAGTGAAGAATAGAGAGAGAAGAGATCTCACCGTGGGTTCAAAGCCGGTTGGGAACACCAAGAGCCACCGGATTTCAAAGGCATCAAGAGGTAAAGACCTTAGATCTAGTGGGCTAGGGTAGATTCTAGGTGAGACGGGGTGAGGTTCTGAGTTTAGGGAGATGAGAGGATGATTTTGGGGGTCTTTGGCCCGCTCCGGCCACCGTGGGCCGCCGCGCACCGCCGTGAGGCATCACCGGCGGCGGAGACTCTTCTTCTCCCCGATGAGGGAGTTGAGAGAGTTTAAAAATCCCTCTCTCCTCCCTCTGATTCTCTGGCCGAGAAAATGAGAAGCTTAGCCCGTTTTAACCTTTAAAAAATACATATATAATTGAACCAAAACGACGCCGTTTTAGGGGTTCAGGGTATGCGTGTTTCAGCATGAAAGGGTAAATAGCCTATTTGGTCCTTACATCTTTGTATCATTCTTCCCGTGTTTCTCATATTAAAAGGGGTAAACTACACTGTAGGTCCTTGATCCTTGTAATCTCACGATTTAGCCATGGAATGAAGTTTACATTATTTCAATTTGAGCCTTTATCTTTTCACTTTTATATTTTAGTCACTATC